TCCTCTTTTGATAGGGAAAAAAATTGAACAGAATCCATTGTTGATGGCGCAGCTAGTGACGTCATTGTACAGAAGTTCTACCCACGACTTTATATTATTACCAAAGCCAAAGAAATCAAGAGTTTTATGAAGAAACTTCCATTCCACTGTATCGAAAGCCTTTTCGAAATCTATTAATAATAAAATTCCTCGAATATTTTTTTTCATTTGTTTTCTCAATTAGATCATAAATCAGTGCATTCGCCAATGTATCTGCCTTTCAAAAATCCTTATCGCTTTTAATATTGTTAAGTACTCGCTATAATCTATTTGCTAATATAGTAGTTATGATTTTATAATCAACGTTAAACAACGAAATTGGGCGCCAGCTTTTAGAAACTGTTTTTGTTTGTTTGGCTTTGGTAGACAGGTTATCACCCCTTGTTTTTGTGTAACTGATAGTTGTTATTTTCAAAACCATACTTAATTGAATTAATGATAATATATTTAAGATCTTTCCAGAAGAATTCATAGAATTCAACTGTGAATCCATCTAAACCTGGAGACTTGCAATTTTTCATACTGAACAGAGCCTTTGTACATTCTGTTTCCGTGACGTCACTATCACAAAGCGTTTTTTCTTCATTAGAAAGTTACCAGATAAAGGGATTGTCATTACAGAAGAATATATTTATTTGTTCATTAGTTATAACAGGATTTGTTGAATTATATAATTTTTCGTAAAAATTTTTTTGCTCTTCTAAAATGTCATTAATATTATATATTTCTGAACCATCATCACGAACAAGCTTTGGAATTATTTTTTCTGTAAAATTTCTTTTTTCCAGATGACAAAAATATTTCGTAGATTTTTCACCTTCCATGTTCCACCTAGCTGTTGCTCTGACCATCAGTCCTCGTACCCTTTCCTCTCTCAAATTGTTAAGTTCATTTTCTTTTGTTTCCATAATTGTAGATGTTTCTTGATTTTCAAAATTGAACGAATTTCGCTGCAATTCTAAAATTTCTGATTCTAGTTTCGAAGCTGTTTCGTTCTTTTGCTTATTTTTACAACTAGCATAGGAAATGTTTTTCCTCTAATTGAAAGCTTACTGACTTCCCAAAGCAGCTGATAATTTATTGTAAAACGTATATTATCTAAATTATTGTCTACTATATCATCAATTGCATAATCATTGAGTACCTCATAAATAACAGTTTTAACATTATCGGTATATGTTTTGTCATAAAGCAATGAATTAGTGAACTTCCAGGTCCCTCGTCCTCTTGGATGATCATATAATTTTAATTTAATCATAACAGGTGCATGGTCCGATTTATATTTTAGACCTATGTCAGAGGAAAGGATACAGGACTGAAGGTCAGACGATACAAGAAAAAAGTCAAGGCGGCTGCCTTTTCCACCTGGTCCAAACCAGCTATATCTTTTCAAATCAGGGTGTTGTAGTCTCCATATATCAATTAAATCTAACTCATTCATTACATCAATATCAATGGAAAAAAAACTTATCGTAAATGTTTGATGATTTGAAAAAGTACACGAAAAGAGAAACCATAGCTCCATACGAGCTCATTCGAGTTGAATATCCCATAAAGCAGCACACGAGGATAATAACCCCAATAGCAGACGTGTGCTTCAACAGGGATTCATATTGAGTGAGGAACTCCATGTAGCCATGTGTTTATTTCTACCTTTTCCACCGAGTTGTGACGAAAATGGTTTTAATCTAAGATGTTGCTATGACAAGAATCCCCTTCAAAGCAATCCTTGTGCCAATTTCAGGATTGCAATGTCAGTTTCCGTGGCAGACCTCAACAAGGACTGCGAACCACACAAAATACACAGTAGTCATAGTCATATGCATGTGTATCAAGCATTTTGAATAACAGATATGTAGCATGCTATCAAAGTTCGATATTGTTGTATTTTTCACACAGACATCTGAAGAACAAAGCATTGTCGCAGAATCGCTACTGAGATTTCATGAACGTTATTGGAAATGAGGTCGGCAATATTACAATTTCCGAGGTGTTTTTTTGTCGTTGTTTGACATTTAACAAGTTTGAATATACATATAACAATACATTTAACAGTAAAACATAGAGTTCAATGTCGGTAGCTGGACTAGTTTCTTAAACAAAAATACATATCAATATTATATGAAATAGTGAAACACATCGTTATTTTCGTTCGAGGGCAATATAATTGAAGTTTAGTGCAAGGCTAGTGATCATGTAACAAAACCTGGCTTCATGGTAATTCTCTCGATTCGAATACCATCAACACCCACAAAACGACATACTTGGTTGATAACCCCAAAAGTAACGGGAGCTTTAAAACGGATCCATGTCGGTTGAGAAACTACATGTAGCCGTGGTGTTTTTTTTCTTTTCTTTTTTGTTTGTTTAATTTTTATTTTTTTATTTATTCATTTATCTGTTTTTGTTTTTTTTACTAATCGTTCATAATTTTAAAACGGTGTATAAGTACCATGTGCCAATTTCAACGTAACAATGTCAAGTGGATATAATTCATGATTTTCAAAGTCCGCGTCAAACAATAACTGAGAGAGAGAGAGAGAGAGAGAGAGAGAGAGAGAGAGAGAGAGAGAGAGAGAGAGAGAGAGAGAGAGAGAGAGAGAGAGAGAGAGAGAGAGAGAGAGAGAGAGAGAGAGAGAGAGAGAGAGAGAGAGAGAGAGAGAGAGAGAGAGAGAGAGAGAGAGAGAGAGAGAGAGAGAGAGGAGAGAGAGAGAGAGAGAGAGAGAGAGAGAGAGAGAGAGAGAGAGAGAGAGAGAGAGAGAGAAACAGTGAGGAGAGAGAGAGAGAGAGAGAGAGAGAGAGAGAGAGAGAGAGAGAGAGAGAGAGAGAGAGAGAGAGAGAGAGAGAGGGAGAAACAGAGAAGGAGAGAGAGAGAGAGAGAGAGAGAGAGAGAGAGAGAGAGAGAGAGAGAGAGAGAGAGAGAGAGAGAGAGAGAAGAGAGAGAGGGAGAGAGAGAGAGAGAGAGGGAGGGAGAGAGAGAGAGAGAGAGAGAGAGAGAGAGAGAGTTCAGCAAAGTTAAATGGTTGCACAGATTTTTTTTATCAGAGAAACGACTTCAGTTAAAAACAATTAATATACAGTATATTGTTTCTCAGTACAGTTCCATTCGCTTGTCTCAAAATCTGTAACGATTATTTGTCGACTATTTATTTTTAAAAAACTGTTTGTAGAAACGATTCCTAAATTCACGTGTTCATAGAAAGATTGAAAACTAAAGAGCAAAAATTCGGCTCCATGCGAGATGACTCTATTTGAATCCCATAAAAACCAACATACGGGGTTTATAACCCTAATAGCCGACGTGTACTACAACAGGGATCCAGCTTGGCGAGAAAATCCATATAGCCATTCGTTCTGTTTCTTGTCCAATATCTCTAAATTTCATACATATGTACTGTTATAATATCTAGTAACTCGCTGAACATTTGTATAGTTGAGCACTACATTTATTTTAATAAAAGATACCTTAGAAAACAAGAGACTCATGTGTCTTAACTGTCACCTGAGGTCTTCAGGTCTGTGGACAATTTTAGAGCCTGTTAATCAGTCTCAGCATTGGGGCAGAGACAACAAACATGATATACATATATGTGCAAAGTTTTCATTGTTTCTAAATTTTAATGCTTAATTTTCAATTAAACGGAACTGATAACAAACATGATATCACTTCATCCTATCATGCTACCTGGACCATTTTGTTATTGAGAAAAAGTCGTTTAAAAATGTTAGTACTTTTGACCCCTGTGACCTTGAAAGTAGGTCAATGTCATTCATTGGAAAAACATGTGTAGCCCTTTATCCCAGCATGCTATTGACCCAATATCATTAACCTGTATCATTTTGCTATTAAGAAGAATTCATTTAAAGATTTTAACACATTTGACCCTTGTGACCTTTAAAATAGGCCAAGGGCATTCATTTGAACAAACTTAGTGGTCCTTTATGCCAGCATGCTACTAGCCCAATACCATGAGCATGGGCCTTTTGATTATTTTGAGGTCGAGATATCATTTGTTCACAATGCATGAAGGACGACGCCGGACAAAAGACGGTCGCAATTGGTCGTTTGAAAAGAGAATAAATGTTACCGTTTAAAAACATATATGCTGTAGAAAGACAAGAAAATAATTCCTACTTTTAATTAATGTCATCCAGAGGATTCAAGAGAAGTTGACAACAGCATCATAGCCACTGAATGTCATCATTTCAATTTACTAGTAAGTGTCCCCCATAAAATACTGGTAAGAGTAAACTCTTGTAAATAATTTATATCTCGTTGCAGTGTGCGTAGTATTGTGTAACAAAACCTCGAGAACAATGTAAAACACAACGAATATGATGGTCTGTTCACGTGAAGGCTTCAGGAGACAAAACAAATTCATAACTGATTATCAAATGTCAAAAATGTAAGTCAGAATAACACAATGGGTAGTAAACGTTAAATGTCATTCTGTAACCTGTAAGAGGTTGGAAATTGTTGTTAAAAGTTGTGTGTTTGCAAATCTGCATGTTTTTTTTTAATGTGGGTCATCCACACCCACACTGTTTCAAATAACCTACTAGTATTACGAAAAAAGTCGAACAGGTTTGGATACTAATATTTTATATAAAACATTTAAAAAAATTAATCAGTTCTCTCAGGGACGTATATATCAATGATATATAGGTCCCTGGTTCTCTCAAGTCTAAATGCTAATTCCATATGGTTGTTATCTAACACTTTAAAAGATATGGGGCCAAATGGAGATCATACATTTACTTTTATGCGTTTTCATGGTTTTTCTTCATTTTACATCAGTTTTATTTCGTTTTCTGTCGTCACAGTTCCACGTGTAGCAGACGACGTGTATTTTAACGACCAGCATGCTCCTGTTCTCACTTCCTGTTCCTGAAAGAAGATGGCGACCGTCGTGTTGGCATATCGTTGGTTCGAATCAACTTTGTCGTCATGACAGACTGTAGGACAAAGTTCCGAACTTTGGTTGAGTAGGAGACATATGATGGTTTGCATCCATTTTCTTCTCGCGTAGCAAAACCAAGAATGTCATGGATAGGCGGAAGTTTATCAAACCTGACGGGTCAGCTGTCCAACTTGACCAAAGATATTTTGACAGAGGGTACAGAAGAGATTAGTGGTACGGTTTATCACATGTTGTTTATAAAATGCAACGAGTTTATTACATGCCCTCAATCACCAATTATTTGTAAATCATGAAATAGAACTACAAGTCACCTGGTGCCGACTCTTGCCTTAATCATGCATGTCAACAATCCACTACCAAGACGAATATAAGTTAACTCGACCCACGATTGTGTCATATACCCACCAGCCAGCAGTTTGGTTCTTTTCACCAGTCTTTCTCCTATTACCTAGATTTCCATGTGGTGTATGCTTTTTACCCTGCAGGACAATGTCATCTGAGTTTCCTTTGACAGGTTGGCCACAACCTCTTAATCTTATATGTCAGTTACCACCTTGAGTAATCTGTTACTGAAATGCATCGTCATTTGAAATAGAAACACACAAAGGATAAAAAGGGTATCATGTTTTCTATATGGTCCAATTACCAATACATCATTGTAAATTTTAACACAAAAAGTTGTTAATTAAGTAAAAATCACAAACTTTCTTCTATGCATTGTTTATCATCTGCTTATTAGTATGTGTTAAAATTGAAACACAGGTAAATTGATGTGCACCTATCACAGTTGCACTAAATGCAGCAATTGGCTATGCACTTGTCAGTGGAGAACCCAAGTCAGTGATAAAAATGGTCTTTTAAACACAAAGTTAGATAACGGATAAGAACATTTCCTATGTAGTTGTATACATTGGTTAAAAAGAAGACACCTTTTTTTCAACAAACTATGTGTTTCTATATGAGAATGACACCACATTTGAGTAACTTACTGATTACTCAAAACAGTAACTATCCCGCACATGCAGGACTATTACCAGTTGAGGGGTTGTGCCCTATCTGTTTGAGACTATGAACAGATTTTAGACATGTTGAATTGTACTTTTTGATCAGGACTCAAAATTCCATGCAAATTGGAAGTTCTCTGACACCAGTTGTCGTAACCCCCAAATTGACACAGAAATATTTTGGTGAAATGCTTTTTCATTTTAAACATAATTTTAATGAGTATAGAAATAGAATAGAAAAACAGATTTGTTATATTGAAATATTAAATACCATTAGTGGGGACATTTCCACTTCATTTGTAAATTCTGTTGCCAACTCCTCCAAGATATCTGTGTCTTACATTACTGTACGCATCACATAACAATAAGGATATCTTTGAATGATGAGTCAGACAGCTTTGATTTGAGGGCCAGTTCAACACTCGAACATAATTTTGCATATTTTGAAAAACTCTACTAACATGACAAATGCAGCTAGTATGCAATGATACATAATATTGTTGAAGAAGTTGAAAATTAGTGGTGTAATATTCGGTTGACTTATCAATATATCACGATACCTTTTCTCTCGATATTATTATGACAATAACATATTTCGAAGTTAGTAGCTATTGCGATAATTTGTTTAACTATCAAATGTTAATGGTAGTTTTTTTTTTTATTCACGAAACAAAAATGCTATTTGAAAAAAAAATTTCAGCAATTTATTGCTAAACGGTTACAAGCTACAAGAAAGGGCAGCATTTTAGTTACATGAAAATTAATAAAAGTGTCTAAAAACTTATCATAACTTAACTCGAATTCCTGAAGGTACAGGCACTTTCATCTGGGAAATAGCTACCAAATATATTATCCTACCTTTGCTAGGCCTGTATATATATTTTTCGACACAGTTCTGCCAACAATGTATGAAGTGTGTCAAACTTATTATCAACACCAAATAATTATATCACTGTTGAATTAATGAATCAAAACATAAAACAAGTTTGAAATAAATAAGAAATTATATTAGATTTATTAAAAATATAGCAAAGTTTAACAAATATCACTGTGAAGTATACTTGATTGTATAGAATTATAAATAAACTGTTAAGCTATTGTAATACCAGCTTCAGTAAAACCCCACTTCCTTTAACCTGCATAACTCAATTACCCCGCCCCCCTTATCTTGATCGAACTGATCACAAGACATAAATTTTTATATATTTAACCTTAGATTTCTTTTACTGATATTTGTTGAATACCCTGCATCCCTGAATTCACATTATTCCCTGTTCCTATGTGCTCATAGTATTTTCCCCTTGTGTTTGTGGAATGGGTGTACTTTAGGCTTTGCAGTTCTAATCACTCTCATGTGCTTCATAAATATTGGTGACTGAAAGAACTGCAGATAATTAAGGGATTAACAGTTTCATGATAACATACCTGTACTGCCATCTGCTACATGATGTGAGTGCTTTATTGGGACGTTTGTTATGAATTTGTAATTTAGGTTGATGTAGAAAAATCAACCGCTGTTCAAATGGAAGTTTGTTTTTTGTGTAATACCAAATCATGAAACAGCACATATTGAGTGGGTAGGTACAATTCGCTTAAACAGGATGACTTTCTTTGTACATCTTATCATCTTTTTAGCTGATTAGGTTAATACATAATAAGGTACAGTGACCAATAACATGGCATCAAGATTTATATTATCATTTGAAATTGTTGAAAGGAAAGAATGCAAAAATATTCATCATTCTCATTGACATGCATTTTGTGCATTTATTTGTCACTGGAACTTTATACATGAGATTTTAGTTCTTATTGACGAGGCAGAGTAACATGTACCAAACAAGAACTGATGGGTTACGCTGACCTACATTTAGACGTTTGACGTACATCAACGAGAAAGTTTGTCCAGGCTCTGTCTCCTAAACAACTTGTCCCTAGAACTTAATATTTGAGGCATGGGTTCACCCTGGTGAGATGTTGTCATGTTTCAAAAGTAGATAACTCTGACAAACTTTTTTACCTTTGACCTATGTCAAAGAGAAAATTTGTCAGCGCTCTTTCCCTACAACTAGTCATTGGAGCTTTATGCTTGGGGTATAGATTCAGCCACGTGAGAAAGTGTGTCATTCTATTCAAGTAGGTCACTTTTACCTTCATTTTAAGCTTTTTACACCAAAGAAAAAATGTCCAGATTCTATCTCCTACACTGCTATTCACTGGAATTTCCTACTTGAGATATTAATTCACTTGCAATGCATTATTTGCATTAGATTGGGGACAGTAATTTGATGAATAATCTTGTTCATCCATAAAAAAAACAATTTTCTCTGCATGTTTTCTGGATTTTTAGACTTCTAAACAGTTTGTGTTATTTTGAGGTGGAGTAACTTGGGGCTCCCTTAGTGAACATCATGCTGGAGGACTGTCACACGTTTTCCAAAGCAATTAATGCAAGAAATTTTGCTTAAGATCAAAAGAATGATCCAGGATTTCAGCCTCCTGAGAAACACAGACTGCACTGTGTACAAATTTGAACCACACACCATAAGTCTTCACCAGAGGTTGTGAAATCTGATACCCCCTCTGCAAATGCATGTATTCAAATAGAAGTGCATAGAGATGGGACAAGTAAAAGCTTGTTACACATTTCCTATGCCATTTTGATGTAGTAAGAATATCAAAACAATATGTCCATATAATGATAGTTGCAGGAACAAAATAATTCAGTGATGCAGATTTATGAAAGTTTTTCCAAAAGGTCTTTACATATCCTCTATATCTTTGTAGACAGCCTGATATTTATGGTGATGCAGTTTGGCTCAGATGATTCTACAGTAGTAATAGTCAACATTAACACATTTTGATGAGGTGTGCATTGGTCAGTATGACACTACCAATTATAATACCACAATGAAGTGTGGGAAGCGTGCCTTTGGGAAGAAATATTAACTTTTCTGTTTTTTTTTTCAGAGTATGTATTTTCCCGAAAAAATATTGATATGAGTTAAGGACCATTAGTAATGGTATTTAATTCAACTATTGTTCTTATCACATGCATACATGAATGCTTAAAACTGTTATTGCATACCACAGTGTTGATCCAAAAAGTGGGGAAAAACTCTTTATGACATCAGTGGATAAATAGAAAATTCATGATTTATCATAATTCATTTATTTGAATTATCCTTTGATGTACAGGTGTGGTCTTCATTTCCATCTTAATAAATTATCAATAAAATGCGACATTATATAAATAGGATTAGGGATCAGGCAGGTAATTTTACAGTGTATATTCTCTGTGGCTATTTCTATTTTAACTACAAGGCTAAATTACCAGGTAACAGGTGTAAGTATATATGTTACTACAACCTTTTTTCTAGCTTTGTTTACCATAGTTTTTGGTGATAGTACTCATATTGCTAATTTCTTATAAAAGATGCCAGTCAGCAGATTTTAAAGTTTAAGGAACATCGTTTAATTGTCATTATCATCATTTAGAAACTGCTAGTTGCAAGGCTTTTCTGTGTTTTATGATCAGAAATGAAATGTGTAATAAAACCCTTTATACAATAATTTTCTTATTTTCGTTTCCACCGAAAGCTTTTATAAAATGTATTTCAGAGTACTCTTTTTGCTAATTTTTGTAGCGATTCCCATATTTGTCTCCCTCACTGTATCACAACACTCATGATAACCATTTCCATGCTGTGTATTAAGATATATGTAAGGCCACCCTTTTATGTTATTGTTAATGGTTGTCTTATTTGTCTCCCTTAGTATATCACCATACTCATTCTTAATGCCAAAAAAAAAGTTGTATGAAGGACATTTGAATAACAAGGTTTAGATATACTTTGATACTATAGAACATGATGTAACATGATATTACATATGTCGCTCTCCATTGTACTGCTATGTAATTTGTCATTCTTTCAATGAACAGGTTTATAGATTGGTAACCTGGGAACAAGTGGCAGCTACAAGCTTGCTATCCTAGTAAAATTTTTATCCTTTTAATGTGTTGTCTCTGTTGCTAGTTTATGATTAACTTTAATGTGTGTTTATATTATTAATCGATATGTTATTTTTACTTATCTGCTTGAAAAAGTCAATTTGTAGGACTTTACAAAGCTGGAAGTTTGTACATCATACTTGGTCAGCTTATCAGGGAAAACCACTGGTTCAGCCTGTCAACCTAGGAATTATGGTACT